CTAGGAATGACCTTGACAGCACAACTCCCTCACATCTCACCTTCTGGCTCCTCCTCACTGTGCTGACATGTGCATGGGGTTCTGATCTCAGCTGAGAGCTTTCCCTGCCATGGTCACACCTGGTCCCTGGGAAAAGAACCACACCTGAAAACCTCTCCCCAAGGTCTCAGGTCACACAGCTCAGAGGACATCAAGCCAGGACCTGAACTCTGACCTTCTGATCCTCAGTTTCAGCTCTTCAAACCACCCAAGAGGCCAAACCTTTCAAATCAGTTCTGAGTTACTGACGTCAGGATCTCAGTTGAACTTTTCCAGAAACTGCATCAAGGTATGAAGCCGAGTTCTCAATGCAGTAAGAGGAAGACAGGGAGGGAGAGGGAACTACCTCCTAGAGAAGCTGCCGATGACCAGGGGCACACTGGAGGGATTCTGCCTTCATGAGTCCTACCTAGGGTCCTGGGATCTTCTCTCTTCCTTATCTGAGACTCCTGAAGGCAGAACTGGCTTCAGAGTGACCCCAAGTTGAGGGGATTTTAGATAATAGGACACACGCCTTCTCACAGGACCAGCTCAGGGCAAAGTGGTAAATGCCTCCGAGCTGAGCTTCCCTTTTTAAACCCCTGGGCTTCACTTGAAATCAGGTGCAAGGAACTCAGTGTGTGGCCCACTGGCAGAGGAATTCATGCTTTCAAGAAAGTACTGGAAGGAGAAGGCATGGGCTGTCAGGGCCCACGGCACCCACACTTTGGGGTGAGCAAGGGGGACTCAGGATGGAAGAAGAGTCCCTTCTCGTTGGACAACTCAGAGCTGGGATGGCTGGATTTCTCTGAAGTCTCAGTCAGTAACCAGCTCAGTGAACAGGTGATGTCACCTCCCCTTTGATTCTCACTTTTTCCACCTGCACAACCAGGGCACATCAGACTAGATTTGTGATTCTCCTCAATGATAATCCTCCCACATAACTGGAGAAAGCTTTGAGAAACTCCAGTTCCCAGGTCAATCCTAGGCCATGACATCAGGATCCCTGGAGGGTAGCCTGGGCTGAGAGATGCTTTTAAAAGCTGTTGACTTTAATTGCAGCCAGGAATGGTATCTAATGGATCAAAAGATCTCCTAAGCCCCTTTAAGAGGGGTGGTCTGTGAATACTGTTCATGCTCCATGTCCTGGTCCTCAGCTTCCCCCTTGCAGTGAGCTGCTTGATCAAGATAACTGCCAGATCTAGGCCTGGGCTGGTGATTCCCCCCACACTCCTGAGTTCCCTGCCTCTGGACCTCAAGGTGGCCTGCCTCTGTGCAGGGGGCAATGGAAGGTTCTTCCCTAGGTTCTACAGTCTCCATCACCCCCATATGCCCACTGAATGGCAGTACAGGAGAAAATGAGAGTTTGGAGAACACCTGGGGAAGGAAAAGGAAGCATGTGACTGTAGATCTGTGGCTTCTGTCTGTCTTTGGTTCCCGGTGCTACATGCTCTCCTTCAGTGGCACTGATTTCCCCAGATACAGGACTCAGTGGTTCTGGGCCTTCTTTGGCTCTTACTAGCAAGAGGTTATCTCCATCAGGAAAAGGAAGGGATCACAGTGAAAAGAACAGATCTGAAGGAGTCTAACTGCTCTCCACGTTCCAGTGTCTACTCTCGAAAGACTCCTCAGTAACTCAAGAAGAGAAGCCCTAAAAATGCACAAATGAGTCCTTCTTCCACAAGACCAAATTGACTAACTGGGAGAGAGGGATGTGGTTATAAACAAGATCCAGCCACCCTGACTGAATCCCTAATACAAGCTGGGACAATGTGAGGTGCTCTCTGCATATTTCTCATTGAAAGATGCTGAAATCATTATGCCCATGTTACAGAGGAGGAAACCAAGCAAAAAAGAGATGAAATGACAACTGGATCACCCAGCAAGAATGGAAAGAGAAATTCCAAGCCTGGTCCATCAGATTATTTGATGTGAAAAGAAAAACAGATACGTTAAGTCAACTCAAAATTTTCAAGTGAGACTTATTCCTATTTCTCATCCTCTTTAATCTATAGATATGCCGTCAGCACAGAGATGCCAAATGGAATGGAAATGTTCTGCAGCCGGGTTAAGGAAGGGTACTCAAGTCCCTTCTCTGCTGACACAGGAAGCAAGCACTTGGAACTTGAGTTCACATGTGGGCCCTGCCCATTAGAAGACCTGTGGGACTTTCATCCAAGTCACTCCAACTCTCTGAGATGCAAACTCCTCTTTTATAAAGAAGGGGCAATGATGTCCATCTCCCAGGGTGGTCCTGAGGGTGAAAGGCTCTGGCAGAAGGCCATGCCCCCAGCAGAGTCTGCCACCCTGCAGGCACCCAAGAGAGGAGGTTTCCTTCTTGCCTGTAAAAACGCCAGGACTGAAATATTTGAAAAATCACATCTACTAATAAGAATGAAATCTGTCAAGCACTTTCTTCATGCCAAGTCTGATTCTAAGCACTTTCCACGCACAAGCTCACTTCAAGTTCATTCTGCCCTAGGTGATAAGTGCCTACCCCACCTTTACTCTGTGGATGAGGAGGCTGAAGCCCCGAACAGTCAGCTGGCTTGCCCAAGGTCACACAACTAGTCCAGGGCAAGGGTGGATTCCCCTGTAGGTGATCTGCCTGCTGAAACTGAGTTCTAACCACTGCGGTATTCTAGATACCAGGTGGGATCACAGATGTTAAGGGAGAGCCATGTTAATAGATGAAGTTCATAAAACCTGGTGCAACTCTTTTTGAGAGGTAGAGTGAGAAGTATGAAGCAGGGGCTGCAGATGGGAGGGATGAAGACTCTGGAGGGAAACCAGCAAACTTAATCCATTCCAACAGTTCTAACAAGAGAAAAGGCGAGCCAAGGTGCTGGGTGGGAGGTAGGGAAATCCCTTTCTCCTTCTGAGTAGGAATTCCAGGGAAGGGGAGTGGGACTGGGGCTGGGAGGCGGGCAACACTTGTGGGGTCCACATTTCACTTATCTAACAGGTTAGGAGAAACTTTAACAAGATTAACTGCTGCTCAGGGCCTCTGCTCCACGGAGCAAATTGAGTCTATTGTTTTCTTTCTCTTTCTTTCAGACTGGAGAGGTGTATGTGTGGGGGGCGCAGATGGGGATGAGGGGCAGGGGTCTGGATCCTGCACCGTGTGATACAAAAGCAAAGGGATGTGTCAGAAACAAGCCCCAAGCCCAGGCCAACTTGAAAGGGAGCCCACTGTGCCAGCAGGAAAGCTGAAGGCTGCATCTGGGTGGTGGGTCTGTGTGGGGTGAGAGGAGATGATGTTTATGAGCTATGTACTCTCAGCATGTAGGGGGCAAGGCTGAAAGTCACTGAAGAAGCTACTGAGGAGCTAGCTGTGCCAGCCAGCACCCACCTGGTCCCTCTCTGTGTCTCTCCCTATCTGGCATAAAGGGTGACTGACTAGCTTGGGTAATCTCTGAGGACCCTTCTCACAGAAGCCTTAAAGAATTCTTCAATCCTAAAGACTATTCATCATTAGTGGGTCCCCAGAGCATGCAAGCAGGCACTTTCTAACTTTGTCTTTGTTTTTACCTGCATAAACCTTCATATATATATATATATATATATATATTTTTTTTTTTTTTTTTCCCCTCTCCTTCCCTTTTAGAAAAATGAAAGGCATGTTTTCCAAGCCTCAGAAGCAAACTGCTCCTTCACTGTTTCCCCTGCCTCTCAGAAGAGGGCCTGAACTGGTGTCCCTGAAGTTTGAACCTGGGCGGAAATAGCATCCCAGGCCAGCAGATCAGGGAGCACCCCCAGCCTACCGGGAGTGGCAAGGGCTGCCCCTGGCAGACGACAGACCTGGTTAACAGCAGCGTAAAATTAGACCTTTATGAAACCCAATTGAATCCTGCAGCAAAGAGTGATGTAAGGCAGCTTGGCCTGACAGCAAGTCAGCAAGCAGCCCTCTGCCCGAAATAGCAGTGTAGTCCCTGCTGAGCGATGACTGCTCTCAAGATAGGTGACCAGGGATTCCTGTGAAAGTGGTGACGCCCAGCCAGAGAAAGCCAGCAGAGGTCAGGCAGCCAACTGGGCACCTGAGGTCCCTGCTCAAGGATGGACTTCCTGCACCCACCTGAGTGTCCAGCCTCTCCCAGCCCCAGCATACAACCAGGAGGGAGCTGGAAAAGCACTTCTGTTTGCTTTTTAATTCAAGGAGAAGCAGGTTCTTTTTCCTCCAACAGTCTGTACCGTGTAGAGGATACTGCAGAAGGAGTCTTTTCTGGCTCTGGGCCAGGTGTTTACACACCGCCAAATCTGGCTCAGACTCAAGTAGGGGAGGGAAAAAAAAAATCCACCAGAATCCTCCGGAGAAAAGCTCCTGGCTTTCTGGGGCTATACAACAGCAGTGCCTTTTTTTTTTTTTTTTTTCCGTTTTGAGAGGAATGTTATTTCCACACATAAAATGGACCAGGCATTTTATACAAGCAATAATAGCTTAACATCCTCCATCCAATTAAAGTATTTTACTGCAACAATCTTTGTGTGAAAAGAGTGAATGAGTATCAAGAGTACGCATGTGAAGAGACCCTTGTCTGAGTTATAGACACATAAAGCAATCTCCCGTGGAATCCCAGGTGTGTGTGTGTGTGTGTGTGTGTGTGTACACACACACATACACACAAACACATATACCCCTTCACTTATGATACCTAAATAACTCTGGGTTCTCCTCTTCAGAGGGGAAATGCTCCAAATCACCGTCTAGGACAGGTAAAGGCTCAGAAAAACCAGGTCTATTTTTGTTGTTGTTGTTGTTGTTTTTTAAATCACCTCCAAGCAGCAGACTGCTTTTCATATGCATAAAAAAGGAGAAGTACACACCACATCCTTGAATTATCACTGTCGTCATTATTATTTTGAATACTGTCTCTTCTGTTCCATATTATATCCTGCTCTGGTTGACTAGGGGAGCTAAAAGCGACTGTGCCCGGTTTCCTTCTCCTTTCCCGGGAAAAAAGGGAAAATAGCAAGCGATGACGATGACGTCAGTTGTGTGTGTTGGGGGAGTCGTTCTTGCTCTCCTTTGGTAGCTGGAAAGTACGGGCTTTGAGGGGACATCTTTTTGGTAGCAGCAGAGTTTGGGTTCCCTGAAGTGGACTTCATGGAAATAGGATCGTCAGCACATTGTCAGAAAAAGTCCAAGCCAAGGAGAGAAAGAAGCTGACTGTCCGAAGAGCTCTCGCCGGAGCTTTCCCTTCTAAGAAAGTGTGTGTAAGGGGGTGGGATCGCAAAACGCCTCCACACGTTTGCTGGCTTGCAGCGAAGGGGGAACCCCTACTCTCACTTTAAGACGTCCCAGGACATGGCAAGAGTGTACAGAAAGGGAATCTCCCAGACAGAAGAAGCAAAACTTTCATTCTCTCCTCCAGCGCCGCCCCCTCCACCCCCCGGTTTTATTAAAGGCATTTCCACAGATTCATTTAGAGGGGGAAAAATGAATGTTGGCGCATTTCTAAGGTTTGCAACCCTCGCTAAGTGTCCGGTTTCACTATGGGCTTTGCTGCGTAGGGGAGAGAGAGGGAGGGTAAGGAGGGAGAACTCAAATTCATTACGGGCTCATAAAAGTCCCAAATGAGAAAAGCGCCCCATTTCGCAGCGGGGTCTGGAGAAAGCTGGCGGGGTGTGTGTTAGGAAGGTCTCTCCCCAATTCCGAGTGACAGGCAACGGGCTTTAAAAGCAAAGATATGGGAGGACAGTGCGTGGGGCTGCGGTGTGTGTTGGGGGACTTGGGGGACAAGGGAGGTGGATCCCAGAGGCAGGTTTCAAACAGAGCGACTTTGGGGCACTTCGAGGACTTCTAAGTCTGGTGATCACAACAACATCGTCCCTGCCAGCTTCCAGGGTGAAGGGGCCAATCCAGGGGGCTACGTCCACCAAAAAGTCAGAGAAATCAACGGTCCCCTAGCTTCCTTTTACATGCAACCCAATTGGGTCATCCTCCCCTCCCTCTCCAACCCAGACAGAGTCCGTCTGACAATGCAGAGAACTGCTTCCGTGCGCTAGGCTCCCCGGGGACTAGCCCTCTCCGACTCAGGGTCTCCAGCCGCCTGGAACGCTCCCCACTCTGCTCGCGGTGGCTGGGGGGCAGGCAGCGACACCTTCCCCGTGTGCCCATTCCTCAGATGGGACAAAGTGAGGCTCCCGAGGTGGCTGCCCCACAGACACACCCGCAAGCCCCCGACCCGCCCGCCACCCGCGTCCAGGCACCCGCGCGCTTCCAGGGCCACGGGGACGGTGCGGCGCCCGTCTGGGCGCCCTCGCCTACCTGTGATCACCGCCGGGGACCTCTGGCCCCCCTCCGCTCGCAGCCACACTTGCAGCGTGAACGCGTCCCGGGGCAGCTCGAGGTCGGCCCGGAGGCGCAGCTGCTCGCCGCGCCCGCTGAAATAGAGCGCCCGGCTCGGCGGGCTCGGCTCCTCGGCGGCGCCCCTCGCCTCCCGCTGCTGCCGCCGCCGGGGGACGCGCACGGCTTCCCAGGCACCGCCCGGCGGCGGCGGCGGCGGCGGCGGCGGCGAGGCGCGGCGGCCGCGGGCCGCC